ATTTATTTATTTATTTATTTATTTATTTATTTATTTATTTATTTATTTATTTATTTATTTATTTATTTATTTATTTTGCATATAGCCATGATGGCAAACCTATGGCACACGTGCCAGAGGTGGCACATAGAGCCCTCTCTGCTGCCATGCGCGCCATCGTCCTAGGGCAGATCTCCGTGACGTTTCTTTTGTGACCTTCTGTTTCCCTGCAAACGACGAAACAGAAGCTCATGAAAGAAAAAAGATCTTACCTCTTGCCATACTGCCGATGTTGGAATGCCCCACCTCCCACTGGCCAGCTGGTCTTCAGGACTCTGCTGTGCATGCACATGTCAGTGCATGTCAATGCATGCGCATGTTCACGTTCATGCACCTTTCAGTTTGAGCATGAACTCTCAGTTTGGGCACTTGTTGTGCAAAAGGTTCGCCATCACTGGCATATAGCATACAATGTCAAGGAACTCTACGCATGCGAGATACAATGCAGTCCTGACAGCCTAGATTGAAACCCTGTTTCCCTGAAAATAAGACCTCCCTGGATAATAAGCCCAATCGGGCTTTTGAGCGCCTGCACTAAAATATGCCCTCCCTGAAAATATTGCAACACAGCGGCAGCCATGAGGTGGCCACGCTCGCTGCCTCCTGCACCCCAAAAATAATAAGACCTCCCGGAAAATAAGGCCAAGTGCTTATTTCGGGGGTCAAAAGAAAATAAGTCCCTGTCTTATTAAGACCCTGTCTTATTTTGGGGAAAACACAGTAGTTCATTCTGTTAGGCGTTTGCATGTCTAATCTGGGTGCACAGTAAGGTGTGTGTGTGTGAACTATAACTATTACCTAGTGGTGATCAGGTTACTGGTTCTTCCAGGTTCCTCCACTGGCCTCATCTTGCTCACTTCGGAATGCCTTGCATCTGGCCAAGCCATCTTCCGCTCTCCCTCCCACACAAGCCACAGCTAGGTATATTGGTATTTTTTCCAGACCCGCAGTAAAGCATTTCTTAAAATATGACTTTTAAAATTNTACACAGATGACTTACTATCTGGAAACAAATACTGTGGGGGTAAGACACCCCTAAAACCCCTCGGAGTGTGTGTTCTGTTAAGATACAGCCTGTTGTGCCATAAAATGGCTTCTACTGTACAGCACAGTAGAGTTGCCATGGTAATGGCTTCACCGTACTCCACAAGGGGGCTCCCTCTGGTAAGGGGGAAAATTCAACATAAGAAATTATGTTTGATCCAGACATTTTCCCCCTATAAATAAATACCCGGGCAATGCCAGGTTATCAACAAATAAATAAATAAATAAATAAATAAATAAATAAATAAATAAATAAATAAATAAATAAATAAATAAGAGATCTACTATCTAGGAAATGTTTATCAAAGGGTCCTTTTGCTCAGGTATCAATCAGGCTTTTTGACCCAGTGAAAACCATCTGCTTATCAAAATGGAGAGCCACTTAAGACCCATGGCAAGCATTTCATGCTGTTCAAATATCTTGAACATTTCCGGAATCTTCCATGGATAGGAGCGTTGAGGTTTGTTTATTGGAGAGCAGTCCTGATCATTGTGTGGCTTAAAGAGAACATTGCTGGTGGCAATTTCCAATTAGTCAAAAGTAAGAAATCATAAGTAAGAAACCCATTTTGCCCTAACATTTCCATTTTCTATTCTTGCCAACAAACAAACCTGATAGGGAAGCAGCATTCGTTTGATTTCTATCCCATTTTCTATTCAGTCACCCATTCAAAGTCGTGAGGAAAAATTCAAATGCACAGAGCAGTTTGAAAGGTTTTTTAAAAAATGGTGAATTAAAAGTAGAGAAGAGCCAGCCTGGTGTAGTGCTTAAGGTGCTGTTCAGAGGTGGCATTCAGCAGGTTCTGACCAGTTCTGGAGGACCGGTAGTGGAAATTTTGAGTAGTTCGGAGAACCGGTAAATGTCACCTCTGGCTGGCCCCGCCCCATCTCTTTGCTGCCTCCTGAGTCCCAGCTGATTGGGAGGGAATGGGGATTTTACAGCATCCTTCCCCTGCCACGCCCACCAAGCCACGCCATGCCCACCACTCCACGTCCACAGAACTGGTAATAAAATGTTTTGAATCCCACCGCTGGTGCTGTCTTAAGAACCAGGAGACTCTGACTACTAGAAATGCATCCAGCTGAGTGACTTTGGGCCAGTCGCTCCTTCTGAGCCCAACCCACCTCAGAGGTTTCTGGGACTGAAGGTGTATTTGTACCCAGGCCTCACCAGTGCTGGGATGATACCTTAAACCCTAACCACACTGGCTCTCATCTGTTTCAATTGAATTAATTAACTAATTAATCAGTGGTTTGGTTATATGCCATCAAGCTGGTATCAATTCTTAATGATCATATAGATTTTCTCCATGACAATATAACCCACACTTAAAGGTGTTTTAACTGGACTTTCCTGTTTTTCTTTCTTTTGAAGACATTTCACTTCATATCCAAGAAGGTTCTTCAGCTCTGACTGGATGGTGGAGAATGGAAGGATTAATATTCCTTGCAGACAGCTGGTCATTTGCATCCTTTTAGAGCAGTGTTTCTCAACCTTGGCCACTTGAAGATGTCCGGACTTCAACTCCCAGAATTCCCCAGCCAGCGAATGCTGGCTGGGGAATTCTGAGAGTTGAAGTCCGGACATCTTCAAGTGGCCAGCGAATGCTGGCTGGGGAATTCTGAGAGTTGAAGTCCGGACATCTTCAAGTGGCCAAGGTTGAGAAACACAGTTTTAGAGGGTCATTGAGGCACGTAGAGGTTTATCTGTGTTTTCAGAGTCACCAGAGTAGTCCAAATGGTTCCTGTAGTTTGCAATTTCCCCCCCTGGAAATCTATTCATACTTCCACACCATTTGGAGGCTCTTCATCTTTGCAGTAAGGAGATCAACCCTTACTGCTCTTTAGACAACCATGGTCTGGATGACTGAGAATCTCCATAGACTTATAACCCTCATTTGAATTCTACAAAGGGGTAGATAAGATCAACATAGATGACTAGGGGACTGGAGATTAAAACCGATGAAGAATGGTTGCAGGAACTGAGTATGTCTAGTTTAATGAAAAGAAAGACTAGGATTTACATGATAGCAGTCTTCCAATATTTGAGGGGCTGCCACAAAGAAGGGGGAGTGAAGCTATTCTTCAAAGCATCAGAGGGGCAGGGCAAGAAGCAATGGTTGGAAACTAAACAATCAAGCTAAAACTAAAGAGATATTTATCAACAGTAAGAACAATTAAACGGTGGAAAGATTAATTATTCAAAAGTTGTGGGTGCTCCCTCAAGATTTTTTAAGAGTTTGACAGCCATTTGTCATATGTTATAGGGTTTCCTGCTTGAGCATGGGGTTGGACTAGAAGACCCTGTTATTCAACCCTGTTATTCTGTTCTGGTTTCTTCGGGTCTTTCAGGATTTCTAGTCATGCACATCACCTTTGTAACTGTCCATCCACCTTGGTGCTTGTCCTTCTTCTTCTTTACATTGAATGAATACCATATTTTTCGGAGTATAAGACGCACCAAGATTTTGAAGAGGCAAATTTTAAAAAAAGTTTTTGCACTCTGCAGACCTCCCAAAATGGCCTGTTTTTGCCAAAAANGGTGGCATTGGCTAGTAGACGGAACCCGGAGGAGGCCAACCCTGTGTGATCTAATGGGTCTTTGGGAGGTAATGATGGAGTACCCCCAGCTTTCAGAAGTTGTGGGTGTCCCAACACTGGAGGTTTTTAAGGAGAGATTGAACAAGCATTTGTTTGAAATGGTAGATAGTTTCATGTTTGAGCAGAGGCTATGCTGACTCTGTAAACCGCTTAGAGAGGGCTGAAAGCCCTAAGAAGCGGTATATAAGTCTAACTGCTATTGCTATATTGCTATTTGCTATTGGACTGGAGGACCATTCCAACTCTGTTATTCTGAAATGCCAAAACATGTCGGGGCTGATCGAATTGAAAAGCAACCAGTTCTTATCTCTCCCCGCTGGCTTCAGAATTGTGGGCCCTTTAGAGAGCATCTTCAATGGCCCCTTTTAACTTGGAAATGCTGGGATAGGAACTTCCACAGGTTGAAGCCAATTGTCTTGAGTTTTCTGTGTGAAATAAAAAATTCTGGTGAGCTAAGAGCACTTGTAAATGATCGTTTTTGTTTCCTTTCAAATACAACATTGGAAGAAAAGATATGAGTTCTACGTGGCTAAGGTCACGCATTAATTCAGATTCAGACTGGGAAAGGTACCTCAGAGCCCATAAGGCATGCAAGAAGCCCTCTTGGCAACCCTGTAAACCGGGTTTTTCAACTCCCTGTGTGGTCAAGAGCATGTTTGAGGGGCTTGTGCACACTATAAAGGAACAGTGTTAAAACCTATTATCCCCTCACTGCCTGTATAAGCAAAATTGGGATTTGCTGTTTCATTTCAAACATAAATCCAAGATAAATGTGGAATGTACAGCAGGAATTTCTCTTTCAGAAATAAAATCCAGATTTCAGGAATTGGGCCAAACTTTGTTCAAAATATGGTTGTAAAATGTGACAGGGGAGTATTATTGACTTGCAATGAAAATATTTTATATTATTAAGTTGCAAGGTTCTATAACAATTTTCATATAGAGTTTAAAATCTCGTGATGAAAGTGCAGTAAATGGTGTGTTTCTTTCTTGTACAACCTCAGGTCAAATGAAATACCGGTAGGTTATTGTATTTGTGGCACTGTCATTCATTTGCTCTACATGGGGCTGCCCCTAAAAAGTGTTCGGAGACTACAATTGGTCCTGAATGCAACCACGCGAGCGATANGATTGATTGATTGATTGATTGATTGATTGATTGATTGATTGATTAAATTTATGTGCTGCCCATCTCCTCAATAAAACGTTTCTGGGCAGAAATCATGATATCCATTCTGTGCCTTTTAATGTTAAATGCCTGCCCCCCTGAAATATTCTATTTGTTTCAGGTCTGTTGTGGACGCTACATTAATCAACATATGCTGGATCACAATAAGGAATCTGGGCATCCGCTGGTGCTTAGCTTTCAAGATCTCTCTGCCTGGTGCTATGACTGCCAAGCCTATATCCATCACCCAGTGAGTTGTAACTCCTCCTCCTCCTCCCACCTCCACCACCTATTTCTCCTTCTCCCCAAATTGAATATTGAACTTCCCATCTGAGGATCAGATGAGAGAGATGCCACATTTTCTTCTTCCGTTGGCCATCAAGACTGTCAGTTATTCAAGAGTTTATTGTATTTTATTGCACGTAGGTGGGAAGCACAGAAATAATTACAGAGTGTGATTTAGGGGAAACTTTTTAGCTCTGGTGTTCTCCAGAAGAGTTTGGATTACAACATCAGGACATCCGACTAGTTTAGTGTTTCTCAACCTTTTCAACTTGAAGATGTCTGGACTTCAGTTGAAGTCCAGACATCTTCAAGTTGACAAGGTTGAGAAACACTGCACTAGTTGTTATCCAATAGATCCGGAGCATCATGCTGGGGAAGGAGGGAGGAATGCCGCTAGGAAAGCCACCTTAGTGGTTTGAGAGACAGTGTTCTAGTCAGTATATTATGGATGCTTAGCAGGCGATCCTCCAGCCCCCAACTTGTCAGACAGTCTTCATCTAAGTTTGCCAAATAGCCCAACCACATATTGCATTGATTTATCAGTTTCCTTCGGGTTTTGTGGTTTCGGGACATGTTAGACTATAAACCTCCTCACCCCCAGCCAATGTAATAGCAAAACATTTGATTAGGGAAGCCTTTAGATTGCTTTTTAGGTTGATAACTTAGACCACAAGTAGGGAAACTAGTTCACGCTCAATCACAGAAGTTCACCCTGTGTGTGTGTGCGTTTGTGTGTGTGTGTGTGTGTTTGTGTGTATGAGAGAGAGAAAGAGACGGAGAGAGACAGAGACAGAGAGAGAATGAAAGTCTGGATAGACTTAATGAATAAACAAATTGGTTTATATAAAAACAATACATTAAATTCAAACAATGTAAAACAGTGATAGTCAACCTGGTCCCTACCGCCCACTAGTGGGTGTTCCAGTTTTCATGGTGGGCGGTAGGAGTTTTGTCCGATAATGAAGGACTTTGGTTTTGTTTAATTTAATTGGCTTTTTTTTTTTAAGTCATAGCATTATTTAAAAATATTTTCATTAGGTTTTCATAAAATCACCATTACTGTGGAATCAGTGGGCGGTTAGACAATTTTACTACTAACAGAGATACAGAAATGGGCGGTAGGTATAAAAAGGTTGACTACCCCTGATGTAGAACAACATTTAATAAGGTGTGTTCATTAAAAAAGATAAGGCAGCACTGTCAGAACTTATGCATCCATTTACTCTGTGTGCGTGTGCGCGCACACACATATATATGCATACACATATATACACACACATAGTAAATATATATGAAAAAGGATTAATAAAAAAGAATTGAAATATAATAGCCCTTCTTGTTTAAATTCAGAACTCTCACTAATGCACAGGTCTGTCTCTCAGCTTTAACCAATTGTAAGGCTGCTACATTAGTCTCACTAAAGAGGAAAGGTTCAAGGCTCATTTTATTTATATGCCGCCCTATTCCCAGCGGGACTCAGGGCGGCGCACAAACCCAAAGGAGGGGAAGGGAAACACAAAAACTACAACAAAAAATACAGGGCATTTAAAAACAACCAACAGCCACACGTTTCGAGAGGGGAAGGGAACTCATCAACCCCAGGCCTGCTGACACAGCAACCGCTTTTCAGAAGGCCTGGAGAGAGGTGAGGGTCCGAATCTCTGCGGGGAGCTCGTTCCAAAGGGCCGGAGCCGCCACAGAGAAGGCCCTCCCCCGGGTAATAGCCAGATGACATTGGCTAGTAGACGGAACCCGGAGGAGGCCTAATCTGTGTGATCTAATGGGTCTTTGGGAGGTAATTGGCAGCAGGCGGTCTCTCAAGTAAAAGCACAGGGTGGGTGGCCCAATCCAAATACTGATGTTCAGTGTGAGTTTCTTTTTCTTCAGGTCCTTCTTGAAGCCAAGTGCCAGGCTCACCAGCTGAAGTTTGGCGAGGACATGCACCTGCCTTCCTAAGGTGACTTTGTCTGGAGGGAAGGCCTAAGATTGAATGCAGCACAATCAACCATCGTTTGATCTCACTGAAGTGAATCTCAGGCTCCTTAAAAGGGCTCTTATGTGCCAAAAATAGCCAGCGACCATCAATTGCAATACCACCAGCAGCCATAAATCAACCACCAGCACCCTCACTGCTTCCACTAGGACAAAAAAAAAGTCCTCTTCTGGTCCAAGCCATGAAGAGGAATAATCAAATGTTAGCGCACTAAGGATATCTTTGCTTCCACTCAGAAGTACTTTGCTTTCTTCAATGCTGAAGAGATACCGTGCCAATTCTTTTTTATTAAAGTTGCAAGGGACTCACTGTTCCAGTGTCTGATTGTGCAAGACTGCATTTCCTCTCCATATTACTGTATATTCCTCTAAATCATTTCTCTCCTCTGTGTTACAGTGATTTCTTGCTCAGTTGGGAAAAGGCCTGTGTTGATTTTAAAATAATCTGCAAAGCATTGGAGTGAATGAGAGAAAGTTTTCCTCTGAGGCTAGAGTAGGATGTGATGAGTGAACAGGCAAGATGTTGGTATGCCTTTGTTAAGGACCTGCATTGTAATTTTAAGGCCAGGTTCACACGATGTATATGCACGTACGAGTAAAAGAGAGAAAGGGAAACGTCACTTTCCAGAGGAAGCTGGTTATCCTGAGGCACGACAGCCAAACCTCTGGTTATGATGAGTCATAACACTTCTAGAATCGCATTATTTGAACCACTGTGGCAACGCTTGCATTTATGTGCAGGTTGTTTTCTGCAGATAAAAATAAGAACGGCCTGTGGCAAAAGAGAATGTGAGAATTGGGCTTTGATAGCTTTAACGGAAATAATTTGGTGTAGTTGGCTTCTTAAGCAAGAAGCAAGGTGGCCTTCCTTAAGGCCATTGGCAAATGACTGGGGAAAGATTGGGTTGGATTTCCTGGCCGCTTTCCAGGTGGCAGGGCTGTGGGGGTGGGCTGTACAAGAGGAAAGCCTTCAAGCTTCTCTACTGTCAAGCTAAATAGTGATCAGGAGGGAGAGGGGATTATTTGAGAACTGGTAACCACACCTAGCCTTTAAAAAAAGAACAGCCAGCGTGGTGGTGCTGTTCGGGTGTTTTGGTTTATAGCTTCTTTTGTCCATAATTGATTATTAAGGAATAATTATAAAGGATTATTATGTTATTATGTCCAAAGCATCTTGAGAGGACCAATTTGCTTCCTGTTCCGAAAACTGATGGAAAAAAGGGGTATTTGTTGAAAAAGGTTAGTGTGGGAGGGTGGCAAGAAAAAAGATGAGTGGGAAGGGGTGTCACTGTGTGTTTGAAAAAAGAGCACCCATTTCCACATGAAAGTGCATCATTTTTCCAGGGCCGGCCCTGGTGGTTTGGGGGAGGGAACAGGGTATTATGGGGTTGATATTGAAACTTGGAAACGTTAAGTTGGATTGTAAGCTTTCACTGCAAAAAAAAATATGTTTGGATGTTCTTCTACTTGATTTGTACTCTTTCTAATTCAAATAAAGTGCATTTCTGCCTGCAATTGTATAAGTGCGTATATTTAGGGATGGGTTTGTATTTAGAGGGATCTTGGAGGAGAAAAAGGTACTGTGTTAAACTTTTGAGGGAGGAATTGATCTGTCCTCATCCCACGATTAGGCTCAGCTTGCAGCTGAGTTTATACTGCCGTTCACTTTCTGCCAGTACCTACTTCCTCCCAATTTCCTATAACAGGTACACATTTCAAAAAGTGCAGTATGATACTGTAGGCCTAGTAAGGAGGGAGCTAGTTGGTATATTGGCCACAGTAGTGAATTAAGAGGGAGGAAGCCCAGGTTCTAATCTCAGTTTAGGCGTAGAAGCCACCTGTCTGATTTTGGGCCAGTTACTCCCTCTCAGCTCTGATCCATATCAGACTGCAGCAAGTTGGCTGATAAAGAAAACTCCCCTGTCACATCAGGTATTGATAGCTTTGCTGTAAGAACTAGGAGAGCAGGCTGCAAAAACTGGGAGGCCTTGCAACTTTGTGGGACAAATGCTAAGAAAAACCACCAGCAGCCACATGATGCCCTCCATCCAATATTTGGGAAGCATCAGTCCCTTTCCCTTGTTCCCTTTCTTTGTGACCTATAATGCTGAGCTATTCATTGGATCTGTTTAATCATTTATGATATGAGAGGCAAAATTACGTTGATAAGTCATCCGTCCCATGTGATTTTTTTGGCTGCCTGCCCCAGCGTTTTCTGATAGTAAGAACTGGTGAGCGGACCTGTGAGGAGGCGAAAAATTTTTGGAAAAGGATCAAAAAATNACGTGAATCGGCTTGCTTTAAAAGCGCTTTTTAAAGCGCCCTTTTTTCTCCGCGGTCGTTGTTGTCGCGCTACTGATGACATCAGCGACGCGCTTTAATCGGGCGCGCTTTAGTGGACCGCGGTTTTGTTGTGCCACGAAGACTCATAAGGGACAACCTCTAGGCCCGTGATGGTGAATCTATGGTACCAAAGAAACCATATTTGCCGGCACGATAGCCCCTGGCAGCCCTCAGCTCGGCGCGCTGACCAGTTGATTTTTGGCCTTACGGAGGGTCAGAGGAGGCCGTTTTTGCCCTCCCCAGGCTTCAGGAAAGCCGCCTGAGCCTAGAGAGGGCGAAAAACAGGCTCAACGGCTCAACCGGAAGTTTGGGAACGAACTTCCAGTTGGCCCGTTGGGCCTGCTTTTCACCCTCCCCAGGCTCCAGAGGCTTTCCTAAATCCTAGGGAGGGTGAAAATGGCCTCCCCGGAGGCCCAGGGGAGGCCGTTTTCATCCTTCCTAGGCTTTAAGAAAGCCTCTGGAGCCTGGGGAGCGTGAAATTTCCCCCCTGTGAGGGTTGCTCACACATGTGCGGTGAGGGGTCACGTGCACATGTGGGTGGGCATGCACATGCATTATAGGGCATGCACACACTATAGCACACACAGACACAGTTTTGGCACACCTTTAGAAAAAGGTTATCCATCATTGCTCTGGGCTGGATGTCAGGATCGAGCGATTCTTCTGCTATCTCTTTCCAGGGTCTCTTTTACGCCGTGACTCCCTTACCCTGGTGCCCCCACCTCAGCTCAGTGCTGCCTGTGCCTCCTGTAGGCTTGAACGTCTGGGAGCCTTGTGCAGAATGTGGCAGCAAGATGGAGAACTGGGTTTGTCTGGTGTGCTATAAGGTAAGGATACCAGTCCTGAAGGTACAGCTTTGGGGGTTAGAGGCTAGAAGTAATTAGGTTTTGATAAGCCTGGAGCCAATAATGAACTCTTCCTATTCTTAAAGGAAGTGTATAGCTTAGGATAGGTAATTTTTTGGTGGAGGGAGGTCACCCTCCACCAATTGAGATCTCTACTACACATTGCTGCTGATGGAGCAGTAATGCAATAATGTAATCAAAGGAAGTTGCATGTTCAGTTCATTCTCTATTTTGCTGGGAATGTTTAGTTTTCCCTATAGTTAAGTCTCTGAGGCAGTGGAGGGATTCAAATAATTTAACAACCGGTTCTCTGCCCTAATGGTCAGCTGGGTAGGTGGTGCTCAGTGGTCAGGTGACTGGGTGGGTGTGGCCAACTCAACATCACTCCCGTCGATGGGTGCTTCACCTTAGTTCTTACAATGCAATCAGGGTTAACCGGAGAGGCAGTTTCTGTAAGCAGGTCAACAAAGATGAGGCTAGAAACAACACCAGAATGTTTCCTTCCTGCCTTCCTCACAGGATTAGCTCTGTAAAGTGGGGAAAAACAAAGAGATTTCTTCCAACAACCGGTTCTCCAAACTGCCTGGAAAGTTACCAACCGGTTCTCCCGAATAGGTGCGAACCGGCTGAATCCCACCATTGCTCTGAGGGCACATGATACCCGTTTTCTTTAGTTTTACCATCCAAATTGGCAGAAACTCACACCAACTTAGAGAGCTCTGTGGAGTTAAAAAAAGAAAAAGAAAGAGCTGACTGTGCGGAGATTGCTCATATTATAAGGTGGCTCCTTGTACTCCAACACTACTTCCTTCTGGAGTTGCTAGTTTTGAGTTCTGGCTCAAGGGCTCATTGTCTCTATGGCGGGCAAAGAGATGTTCCTCCATGTGGTCTTGGCCAGAGCTATTTTAGGCGTTTCATTGACCAGCTTCTATCACCTCCCAATTTGACGGGGGTGAATGAAATAACTCAACAACAGAGTTTTGCTTGTTGAGGGCGGGGCTTGACATCGCAACGACACAACATGCAATCTTGGGTCTCCAGGATTGCTGTCGATATCTCTGTTTNTCTGGACTTCAACTCCCAGAATTCCCCAGCCGGCTGGGGAATTCTGGGAGTTGAAGTCCAGACATCTTCAAGTTGCCAAGGTTGAGAAACACTGCACTAGAGGGAGTAGGTTTCAAATTCATTATATCGGGAGCTTTAAGCATTCCAAACATTTCTCAGTGATGCATTCAAAAATCCTCTAACGTCGTTAAGAATCATCACATCTACGGTGCCAGTGAAAGAAGCAGAAAGATGCTGCTTATTTTCATCCCCCCTGAATTTCTGGCAGAAGAACCTTGCAAGGTAGATTAGCAGACAGTCTTTCAGATATAGTTCTCGCTGCAGTGGGTAGGTCTATAGTGGCATATATGCCCGTATATATCAGTGCAGGTGGCAGGAGGCTGAATGTCCTTTCAGAGCAGAGCAGCAGATGGCTCTGAGCTTGCAGCTCATCTCCCTTATTCCCCCTCTATGCGACACATCACACAAACAGTGAGCGTGAAGTGGTATAGCCCAGGCAAAGATCATCACTGCTTCAACAAACTGACATAGAGCAGTTCTGGATGGCACCAGTCACATGTTATTTAAAGGTGCTTGCTGCCTCCTGCTGGAAGCTCTAATGCCTTCCCTGGCATTTGCGTCCCTGTAACTCACGGCTGGGGCGAATAGGAGAAAGAGAGCCTTGTTTCTACCCCCCACCCGAGTCTCCTTCGTCTTTCCTTCGTCTCCTTTCCCAGTTCTATCAAGCCAGGGCACAATTTAGCAGCGGAGAGCTGGCGAACCTCGGCATCCGTCCTCTTGTGTGGAAGATGAATTGGGCAGCAGATGCTCTGAATCCAGCCCGATTCCTTCCTAATGGCTGTTGCTCAGAAAGACAGAAGGAGAGGAAGGGAAAAGGCCAGTGGGCATTTGGTCAAGTGGCTGCTTCTGTCGCCCGGGCAGGAGAAGTAAAAAGCAGTGGAGGGAGTGATGAGCTTGGCAAGGGACAGAAACCAATTCCCTCCCCTTCCCCTTCCCCCCCCACCACAGCACCCAGGAAAAGAAGGAAGCCAATCTTGGAGAAGGAGGCAATGTAGCACTGCTCCCCCCCCCTCCTTCCTCCATCACCATCAGCGGAGGAGTGCCGAGGCTGCAGAGGGAAAGAGCTTAGCAATCGTCACCCCAGGAGATCCCTACGAGGAACAGGGAGAGGGGGGGGGGAATACAAGACTTTGCTGCCAGATTCCAGAGGTGGAGAACCTGAGCAACTCAGTGGAGAAGTGGAACTGCTGGAGCAGAGGTATGCAGAGTTATTTTTCCCGAAGGAGGAGGAGCTGAGCCAAGGAGAGGAGAGTGGCCAGAGAAGGGGTGCATCGACTGGCTTCAGGCACGAATGCTCTCGTAGGATTTGGCTCCCTGGAGAAGAAAGGAAAAGAAAAACACTTCTTGCAGAAAAGGACACTTGCAGCAGGTCCCTCAGAGGAGACGTTGGACCATGTTGGCAGCCCGAGAAGCGGCAGCCCTCTATCAGACCGATTTTGTGCGCAACGCCAGGGCAGTGGGCGCTCTCTGGGCTGGCTGTAGCCTCTGCTTTGGCATCTTGGAGGTGGTGGTGCTTATCCAGCCAGCGTGGGTGCAGACAGCACCCCTCACCTACCAGCTGCCAATCTCCGGGGCCCTCTCCGATCCCAGCGTGAGCGCCGTGGGCTCCTTCGGCCTCTACCAAGTCTGCACAGAGCAGGACGGCGTCCTCCAGTGTGAGGGATCGCTGGTCACCCTAACCCCCATCCCATCTTTCAAAGCAGCTGCTGTCTTTGTCCTGATGGCCCTGGTGCTGGTGATGGGCAGTGTGGCCTCCCTGGGTCTTTTCTGGGTCTGCAGCGCAGGGACCGTCTACAAGGTGTGCGCCTGGCAGCAGCTTTCAGCAGGTAAGAGAACCCGGGTTGGGTTGTCGTTTTTGAAAAGGCAAGGAAGAAACGTGGAAGGAGGGAAGGATGGGAGTGGGATAGGGAAGGAGCCTCCCAAAAGAGATGCTGCCGAAGCTCAAGTCTTACACAAGCCACGCTGTAAACTTAGCAACTGCATTTGTAAAACACAAAGTTTGGTCTCTTCTTGTTGAGGAAGAGAAACAGTCGAATTCAGACAAAACCATGCAGGCTTCATTCAGAATAAATAGGAATGTTCAGACGCAAAGGTTATGTTTCCCCGTGACCCATCAAAACCGCGGTCCACTAAAGCGCGCCCGATTAAAGCGCGTACCTGACGTCATCAGCAGCNAAGATGAATTGATGTAATTACTTAATAATACAACATGATATTGACTATGTAATAGGATACATGTGATTATATGCTATGAAAATGGAAAATACATTTTTTTTTAATGGAGAAGGGTCGCGGCATTAGGAAGGTTGAGACCCACTGCCTTAGACCCTTAATCTAATTTCAACCTTTCCTTCTTGACCAGCTTTTGAGCTTATCCAGGTAAAATGTTGCTTGTTTCACTTGTGAATTGTCCAATTGCCCCCAATTTTTGGCCCCCAATTTTCTATGGCTTAGAGTTTTCCATGTCTTCTTTTCCAAGAGTATTCCTTAGAATGAAGATCATCGTCTTTGAATTCCTTTCCAGACCCTGAGATTTCCCTCCCCCTGGAAAGAAACTAGGAGGATTATGGCCTCGGATACCTCCCTATCCTTCTTCATTTCAACCATTAAACCCAAGAAAAGGGACTTAAAAGTCTTAACCGGATTCTTCTTTCCCTAGATTAGAAAGCTCCAAATCTTTTATCTACATACCAATCCCCAAGACCAGGGATGCCAAATTCAAGGCCCGTGGGCCGAATCCGGCCCTCGGAGTGCTTAAATCCGTCCCACAGTGCCTCAGCTGGTTAAAACAGGCTGCATGCAGCTTCTGTACAGCCTGTTTTTGGCCAGCAGAATGCTGCTGGAGGCCGGGAAGATTGAAAACAGGTTGTGTGGCTTGATTTGGGCTCATTTATAGCCTATTGTCAGCCCGTTTTTGGCCCATTTTCAGCTGGTAAAACGCTGCAGGAGGTCGTTCAGGTTGAAAACGGGACAGAGGGGAACTCACAGCCTGTTTTGACCAACGGGGTGCTGCGAGAGACGTCCATCCCGTCTCCCCCATGCTCCATGTCGCCCCCACCATCACTGACCCACAGAGGAAAACTACAATGCTGATTTGGCCCACGAAGAACTCCAGGCTGACACCCCTGATCTGGATCTTGCGAGTCGTATTGAAAAGGTTCCCTGTTCTCTCTACGGTAATAGCAATAGCAGTTAGACTTATATACCGCTTCATAGGGCTTTCAGCCCTCTCTAAGCGGTTTACAGAGTCAGCATATGCCCCCCACAGTCTGGGTCCTCATTTCACCCACCTCGGAAGGATGGAAGGCTGAGT